AGTTATATTCTTTTCTATCACAAATATATTTATGCTTTTAATTATAAAAAATAAAATCATTGCTTGATGGAGTAAATTTGATACTGTTCTATAGCACTGACTAGAAAGTTACTCACTTGCTGAGAACAGTGAAGAATGCTAGATGCAATAATGGAATGATTTCTTATTATCACCTGGTATTTGTTTTTGTTTTGGCATCATAAGTTTGTAGATACTGTTATCCATATTTGTAAATGGACTCAGTGGAAGTTGGCCTAATTATTGCTTGTTCAAATATCAAAAGAATCATAATATTTTTTGATCAAGCTAAACAGCATTGCGATGTTAATTATTATCTAATTTCTTCAATTTGAAAACATTGACCAGAGTAGTATTTTTCTTCTTTCTCTAAATATATAGAAATATTGTTCCCGGCTAACCAAGTGTGCATTTTCATTTACATTTACAAGGTTCTTTCTGTGAAACCAGAGGAAACTTGGACCTGAGCTGAATATGCTGAAGCTGCAAATGCAAGAAAATGTATGATATTGACTCTTAATAAGATAAAGGGTTGGTGGAGAAAAGCATCTTCTATCTTTAAAGCAACTGTGAAAATTCTAATAGGCATGTTCGCAGGCACAAGTATGTTTGCAGACTGAGATTGCGATTGGAAAGGACAATATTTCTTTACTAATGTTAGTTCAACAACATCAGGGCTTTAAAAAAGGCTCTGAGGAAAGGGGGAAAATGCTTGACAAGAGGAATAAAAAGCCACATTAGGCATCAGTGAAATATATCATCAGGAAAGACTATATACAGAGGCTGGAGGAGAAGAAAGTGAACTGTGTGGCGAGGTATAATAGTTACAGCCTCTACGTGATAGAATTGCACGTGTGATCCATCATGCTAATTCTGCCTCCAATCTTCTCAGTCAGATTGTGTCTCCTAGTGCCCATTATTTGTGGTCTTCATTCTGCCTTTCAGGTTACAAAGATCCAACCAGGGGCAGACCACTAACATGACCATTCTCTAACAACTAGGATTCTTTTCTTATAATAGACTTGAGTTAAGGGCTTTCTTCCACTAGACCTTCTACAAAAGATTTTCATCTTTCAGAAGATAAGTATTACATAACACTTTATATGGAACCCAATTAAAAGTCTAAATAGGTGCACCAAGCACATTCTACAACTGCAATAAAGTATTAAACTTACATAAGGTAGCACCGTCCCCCTTTGTTGTTAGGGTAGAAAAAAAAAGAGGCCATGGATTTGAAATAGAGCAGGAAGTGTTCTGGGAGCATTTGGAGGGAGGAAAGGGGAGAGAGAAATGATATAATTATGCTATAACCTCGAAAATAAATTTAAAAAGTGTTGAAAAAAAAAACCCTAGCCTTCCATGAGGTCTATGTTCCAATCCTTGGAAATTAGGAGATCCAAGGAAGACCAGAGCATTGAAGAATAGATCCGGAGGCATAGGCCGTACTTCATTTCCTCAGGATGAATGTCCCATACGCAGGTATATGCTGACAGGTGCCCAGGCATGTATTCCCATACATGAACCTCACCCAACCAGTCATGGACACACAAGTAGACCAGCACACGTTGCACAGATGTGACACACACAGGCAGGTTGGTGAAGTTGGAGGCTGAGACCTCTGACCTCATGGCCATCTCCATACAGAATCACATCACAGTACCATTATGGCAAAAACAGTTATACAACAGATTCTATTGCTTTTGCCTTGTGGTTCCTCAGATTTCCTGTGAGGTATCTTGTGCTGACTCACACCCACCCCCATGGATGTGTCATCATGTTTTAATGGATTCACGCCTGCTGTTCCTGCCAATGCCATGTTGTGTCCTTGTCAACTGGCCCAGTGGCCTTTCTTCCCAACACTTTCTCTTTACTTGAAATTCTTTAGAAATTCTGCAATTACTATGTTTCTGTTTATTTTTTTGGAAATCATTCCAAGAGATACACATACAAAGAGTTTAAGAAAGGCATCCTTATGTAAAATTATTTTGTAAATTTACAGCTGGTTCTAATAAATGATTAGAATAATGATCCTATCTTTCTCAATTAAAGTTTTTCTTCTATAATGAGGCACCTATTTGAGGGATAAATTGCTTAAAATTTTTTTTCTTCATTTTATATTTCACAAATATGTATTAGAAAATTCTGTTTCTTACAGTTTCACTTGAAGAAAAACATAGGTTCCTGTATCTGTTCCCACTACACTCCTTTATTTTTCTTGACTTTATGGTTTAATTAAAAATTTCATTTACTTTTTTAAGTTTTTATTACATTTTTATTTTGTGTTTGTGTATGTAGTGGGTCTGTGTACATGTATATATACATGAGTGTGTGTGTGTGTGCTCGCGCGCTCGCGCACCAACTATGGCATACATTTGGAAGTTTATAGGACAATTTGCAGGAGTTTACTCTCTTCTGCCACATTGCAACCCAGAAATCAAACTCAAGTTGTTCGTCTTAGAGGTTCTTATCTGCATCTTGCTGGACATTTCTTGATTTCTTCCAAGAAAACTTTAGCTGTTGCGTTAATTTTTCCTTTGATAAATTAGAACTTTGCTTAAGGCAGAAAGATATCCTAGCATGGAGAGTGAGTACTAAGCACCTCCCCCAACTGAGGAGCTATTGGCAATGAATGGATGTTGGGAGAAAGAGTCAGTTCTCTTCAAGGGCGTGGCTCTGTCAGATCCATCAGTGGTAGGTCACATGTTCAAGTGTATGTCTGGAGCAAACCTGAACTGAATAGGTATAAAAGCAGACATAAATTTGGGGGTGTAAGAAAGGAGAGTGGGGTCTGGGAGGAGTTGGGAAAGAGTGACTGTGATCAAAATATCTTGTACAAAATTCTCAAAGAACTAATAAGGAAAACATTAAAATAAAAATAGGCATTTGTTATAAGACCACTCAAGATTGAAGTTAATCTTGTTCCTTATATCTCTCATTTAATGCCACATTTATCACTTTTTTATTTTATAATTACTGTGTGCACAGGAACTAATATGTTTCTTCTTCAGAAAAAGATTTGTAATAGCAAAAAATTATATGAATGTACCCAACTCCAAAGGGGAGCATTGGGGGTGGCCACTGTAAAATAAGACTACTCTAAAGTCCTATAACCTGGCAACTAGTGCTATGAGAGAATGAGGTATCCTGGATTCAGCAAAGATGACATCGTGAGCCTGGAAATGACTTTTTTTTTATTCGTGATAAAGAACCATTTGTGCCAGCAAATCAATGACTTTTTCAGAAACCAGTAGTTTATTTGTCAGTAATAAAGTCAGGTCATGGGGGTAAGGTGCTGATTTAAGAGAGAAAATGGCAGCAACAGCCATGACAAATGACCACTACAAATAACAACTTTGTCTATTCATTCTAAGCACCAATTAGTCAACATGTCAATCAAAACAAAATGAGAATGTCAATCAACACTTATAATGACTTACAGTTTGTTTTCTATGACACTGTTTTTATTACCTTAGGATTTAATTTTCAAAGACTTCATAACAATCAAATGTAAACATAAATACTGCACACAGGTATGGGAAAGATACAAATTATATAGAATTGATATCATATGAATTTATATAAGTATGAAAGCATCTTAACAAACAATTGCTCTCATGTCTAAAGTTTACTTTGTGAAAAACAATAAGCAATCCCTGACAAGATGACCAGCAAACTTAGAACTCTGATGAAAAAGGCTTGGCTGATTCTCACATTTCAGAAGTATCAGACACTAATTTTCTCACATGTTTATATGTAGGGGTATTTATACAAGTCAACATCATTTTATCATCCATATGTGACTATTAGGAATGTCTTATTAACTGAATTTAAATAAAGCTGAAGAGTCAAACAATTCATAATTAAAAAAATAGCTTGGTGTTTTTTAATTACCTAAAACTTCCCTTTTCTTTTCATATTAATTGATTCTCTAAGGCTCAATGAGAAGGACAGAGAAGGTGGCTTCCATTTGAGTTTTAGTTTGTTGAGTTTTAGTGCATATGACTTGGTAAAAATCCATGGTTTCTTCTGAATCCCTGATATTCATACTCTGTACTGTCACTTTAAACATTTTTTTTTGTTTCACACTAAATGCTTGTGAGCAATGATTCAATGCTTTAATTCCTACATAACCCAAGGAGCCTTGGGAAGCAGAATGACTCACAAACAAATGAGTTCCATCCACCATTTGTGTGGGATATGAGATGAACAGTGACTCACTTTAATAAAATTCCCCAACATAAACAAAGCTAGAAACTCGAGAGTTAGAGAACAAAATTCAAAATCATTTTATAAGTATCTGAAGTTTGTGTTGTATTTCTCATATTGCTTTACCTCAGCTCAACTCCCCATTTAACTTGTTATCCTTGCTTCCAGGATGCATTCACACAGCAGTAGAAGTACAACAAGAACTAGCAGAGGAAACTCCCTCAGTCACTTTAATCTAAACACAGACGTTTAAAGCTCCAAGCAGGTGTTCTGTATGATTCATTTTCTAAAGTTTTCTCTTGTAATAATAACATTTATTGACCACATCATGTGCACTAACTAATGTGAGGAATATTTCACCTCCCATATAATTGACGTTAGCAGCTATTCTTCAAGGGACCTTTTAATATAATGTTTTATTTACTGTTTGAGAATTTCATAATACACGGTTTCAAAGATACATATGGTTTTATCACATTTACCTCTCACTCCTCCCCCTAAATTCTCCTGTATCTACTGTCACCCCCCCCCCACTCCTTCCAACTTCATGTCATCACTTTTTATTTACTATAACCTACTGATTCTAAATTGTGCTGACCGTATACACATGGGTATAGGAGTCAACCTACCAGAGACCACATCCTTAAAACCGACAACCATCAACTTTCAATAACTTCTCAGCTAAGGCGGGAGGAGCCAGAGTCCCTCCCATCCAAGATGGAATGTTGACAGGCTTAATCATGTAATCATGTGCTGTTTTTTTTTTTTTTTTGTAGGCAACTGCTACTGATATGAAAACCAGTTCATTGGTTCTGTCATGGCTAGAAGACACAGGTAATCTAGATATACCATGTTTTATAAATATTTATTAGCACTTTGAGAATTTTATATAGTGCGTTGATCACATTCACCCAGCTGCCAACTCTTCCCAGATCTATTGTTCCCTTCCATCTACCTAATGTTGTGTACTTCTTTCCCCATCAAGACAAATATGTGCTACCCAAATATTCTTAGATATATGGCCTTCCACTGGAGTGTGGTTGACTTACTAGGGACTAGACTTTTAGAGAAACTCATGTCACAGGAGTAACCAATTGTTTTCTAATTAATTCCTGCTATGCAAGATGAAACCTATACTTGGTATTATTATTGGTCCAAGAACCACTAGCTACACATGTCATAGGCTATAGTGTTAAACTGATTTCTAGTTACTTATCACTATACCCATAGATTAATGCCTCTCTCAATCCTCATTAGAGAACCTTCTATTTGCAGTTGATGGTTATATACACAGAGACCCACATCTAACAAGGAATGCAAAGTAAGAGACTATAGATTTCTTAGCCCTAAGTGAGAAGGACATGTTGCACCCCCTCCTCCAAAAGTGCAGGGATCATTGTGAACGAGAGGTATTAAGAGTTTAAGAGCCAGATGTGGTGGCAATTACAATCAAACATTGTCCTCCTATACATAGGGAAGCTGCACATAAGAATTTACAAGGGTTGTTACAACGTGCACAGGACCTGTGCAAGCCTAAGCTATAAAGCATAGAGAAAGGAATTGAGCATAAAATTCCACTCCCAGAAGTGTAGATAATGACAAATATTAGCTTCTGGGAGAGGGAGAGACAGTTTTCTTTAATACTTCAGTTTTACCAATAAAAAAACTTCAGTTACAAGACTCAGCAAATTGCTATTAATATATGTCTGTCTCATTGTAAATTCCATGCATTTCCTATGTTCTGACAATAGCTACTTAGTCCCATTCACATATGAAGGCATCTATTCTATTCTTGAGCATGCCCTTCAGCAAACAGGCAGACAGTGCCTCTCCAAGTACCAATTAAATGCATCCATTTAGCTTGTCAGCAGTTCACTTGGAATTGTTGTTTCTCTTGTTGGTTCATTATGAAGCAATTAGGTCTTTGGCAAATGACAGAGGTAAAGATGACTGAATTGACTCCTATGTACCGTATTGCCAGTATTTCACCTTTGAGATCTTGCTCATCTACTATTGAGATCATATTGAAATATGATATTAATAATAATATTATTATTAATTAAAATATTATTTTTTAATTATTAAAATTATTTTTCTGGAAAAGTACTTTATAAAATGTTTAAGAGAATGGATCTCAATACAAGGTAGGTTGTTGTTTAAAATCCTCTGATATTAAAATAGGCCTGATGAAAATCATACTGACATGAACTCTGGGTAGTCTCATTTAGATAACTCTCTTGTTTCCATTTTTACCTGTACGAGTTACAGTCTATTGAGAAAGCTAAGCTTAAATCACCAGCTGTTTTTGTTCCAGCAGGTGGAATCTTCTTATTCAGGTCACATACAAAAAAATTCACAGTAAACACTAGCATAACAGAGACATCCCAACCCTTGAAAGATTATGTCGTAACTAAGCAAAACAGTAAAGAGAGGGAAGCTCCTATGTGAGGGTGATTCATAGAAGAGGCAGCCTGGCAAAGAGCACAATTCTTGTCATCGGAATATATATTAAAGAAGGAAGTGAGCTGCCACAAAGAGAGGCCAGCCAGAGAAAGGGGTTTGAAGGGAATCCAATTTTAGGAAAGTTTCTGCCAAAGAGCATCACGATGTACTCTTGACTGCTTTGTCTCTAGAGTGAAAACAACATGGCAATTGGAATGTGCCTAAGGGACTTTTATCCACAAAACCTGCAATCTTAACTGAGAAACTTAAAACACAGTTTTTATAGGATAAAATCTAACACACATGATGGGTAAATAGAAGAGTGAGACATATGGATGGAGATGGCCAATCTCTTGGTATTTGATTTTACCAATTATTTTTGCAGCCTTGGTGGTTATAAATTTTTAGTACTTTATTAGCCATAGACATACAGTCAGGAAATGATACAGGCAACCGTTTTATAGATATTTCTTTTCTGGCATATGTTAAATTCTCAAATTTCTGTCTTCTTTGGATACACCCAATGAACAGACATGTTAGAATGTAAAGCCGAAGTTTTAGAGAGAAAGATATAGCCCAGATTTGTTTCATTAATTTATTTATTTTCAACTTGGCTCACAGTTCCAAGTTTCTTACCAAGGCACTGTATCTTTGCAACAAGAAATTAAGCTAAAATAGAAGGTATGTTCTGCTGTCTTTTTTTTCTTGGCTCACTCTTTTTTTTTTTCCTCTGCTTTGAGCTGTAGAGGTGAGACCAGGAGGCAGGGCCTTGAACCTTCCTGAATACTGACAAACTCATTTAGGTAGTTGCATAGAACACTGAGAAATCAGTGGTGTTTACTTTAAGCCTGGATCTGAGACTTAATTCCTTAAGCCATCATATAAACGCTATAACCAGTGTCCCTTGTGTGGGCATATAGGTAAAGCATATAAGAGAGTAAAGCTCTCTCAGCGTCCATCCTGAGGACTGATGCAGCTTTGGACTAGCCATATCGGCATTCAGTGCCTCTTTCTTTGGCATTTAACCTGGCCCCAACTCAGTGCAGTTTGAAAGAATCCTTTGTGAAAACTCCTCTACTACCATTTTGAAGACAACTTTAAAAAGGTATTCAGCTGGTCAAAGTAATCTTGCTGTTTTTTTGTTTGTTTGTTTGTTTGTTTTTCTGCTTGGCTCCTAATGAGAAATAGTTTCTCTTTCTGTCCTTGTTGCATTAAATCTGAACTTAATGTGGAATTTTAGTCAAGAAAAATCAATAATCTGTTATCAGTTGTCACTGATGCTTCTCCAGCATCACTAACAGTAATGGATATTTTGTCTCTTTCCCAGGACAGGATAATTTCCCAACTCTCCTCCTACAAGTTAAGGGTTTGGTCTCTAATGCTTCTTAGAGCATGAGATTAAAATAGATTAATGTCCTTTTGTCTTACTTAGGGTTACTCTTGCTCTGATGAAATACAATGGCCAAAAGCAACTTGGGGAGGAGTTTATTTGGCTTATGCTTCTTTATCACTGTTCATCACTGGAGGAAATCAGGATGGGTGCTCAAGGAGAGCAGGACCCTGTAAACAAGAGCTGATGCAGAGGCCATTGAGGAGTGTGGTTTACTGGCTTGTTCCTCATGGCTTGCTCAGCCTGCTGTCTTGTAGAACCTAGAACCACCAGCCCAAGAATGGCCGTACCCATAATAGACTGGTCCTTACCGCATCAATCACTAACAAGAAAAATTCCCTACAGGCTTACCTGCAGCTCAGTCTTAAGGAGGTATTTTCTTTCTCAGGTGAGGATCCTCCCTCTCAGATGACTATAACCTATGCCAAGTTGACATAAAACTAGCCAGAATACCTTTAACCATAGTTACGAAGATTCAAGGTACAAGCTAGACTTTAGTGCTTAGCCGGACAATGTGCCCCTATTTATCCATGCCACTGAGTCCTGAGCACTCTTCCCTTTCCTGTCTCCTGGCACTTTTGTGACCCCTGATAAAGGCTATGGGGAAAGATTTACAAGAATGTCCTAATCTTTTTGTGTCTGTCACCTCAATTTTTTTTTTCTACTTGACTTCTTGGACCCACTCAGCCAGGTAAAATTTTAGCTGAATCCTTAAACTGCTAAGATGTAGGATATACATCTTTCTTCTCTTGAGTGTTTTGAGGAGCACAAAACAGTTAATGTGTAAGTTTACATACTTTCCTTTAATTTTTTTTTTATTTTCTTTAGAAAAAGTCTCACTGTGTTGCCCAGCCTGGTCTCAAACTTCTGAGCATCCTGTACCAGCCTAAGTGCTGGGATGATAAGAATGTGCCATCGTGCCAGGTACGCTGAAATGCTGTTAAGATGTTTTTTAAAATGATTGGTAGGTTGAAAATGACTTTCTGTTTGTTTCCATTTATCCATTTTCAGATTTACTTCCAGCCGTGTATCTCAGATCATATTTCCAAAAACAGGATGGAAAATGTTTGCTGTTTGTTTTCTAACACAGAGGGCGGTAAATGCTGTGTCATGGAAACAACCTTTTGCAAATGCAAAGATTGGCTGATGTGCCATTCTTTGCAGATTCAAAGCACTCAGATTCAGTTAGACATGATTTTTGCTTTCAGAAAAAAAAATGTCATCACATTTAACACTATAGATTTAGAATAGGTTGGCCTACTAATGTACTTATAAACAATTCTCTGTTGGATTCATCTTAGGCATGCAGTTTTATGTTTTTATGTAGGAACATTTTTTTTTTCATACAGATGGAGCATTCATGCCTGATCACTGCATGCCATGAGTCTGCTAATGTCTTTGAGTGAGATCTTGTTCTTTTTTATGAGAATGGACTTAAATCCTGCCACTAGAAGAGTGAGAACAGTGAGTATGTTTTAGAAGGACAGATTTTACCCAGAATATAAAATATTTGAGCTCTGAATGTAAGATAAATTCAAAACCCTAGCAAATGTATTAGGACATTTGTTTCAGAGAGGGGAGGGAGGAGGTAGTGAGGGAGGACAAGAAGTTGGGGAGGGAAGATTAGAAATTCAAATATAGAGTGATGATGCCACCCCTGATAGTCATGCAAAAACCCCAGTGCCAGGCATGAGTTTACCATGATAATTTAGGTTATTGACACTGTTGCCTTCTAGAACTTGAAGGTAAGACCCTATTGTTGGTGACACCATAGACACACAGGACATGGAGGAATTGAACTGGAATTGACTTGGAGGCCTATTCCTTGAGGGCTAGCTCTCATAGTATCCAAAGGTGCTATGTAAGCTGCCCAGGGAGATGAGCATTTGATGGTTCTAGCCAGATGTAAAGTCTATCAACCATAAAAATGACTTGATTGGTGAGACATCTCCAATATAATGGTTCTTTTATCTTGGAGTAGGCAATCACTGTCTGTTTGGACTTAAGGCATTCTTTGTTGGAGGAAATTCACATCTGGTACTGTAAGCCTATGTAGCTATCCACAGCTGGGGAAGTCAGAGGAGAACCTGTTACTGCCATTTTCCTAAAGCAATATAATTTCTAACTGTGTTCTAAATACTCTCTTTACTGCCTCAGATAAGTGCAGCTCTCATCCCTCATTAAAGAAGCTTTGATTCCAAAATCAGTGGAGACTATTACAGAGATCCGGGACTACCAAAAATGAAGAGAAATGAAGCCAACCCCAACTGACACATCTGCAATGCAATTCCTACACCTAAGGCTCAGGGAAAAGGAAAAAAAAGAGGGGAAGAAAGCCTGTGAGATCCAGGGGCCTCCTACGCCCATTGCTAGGCAGTGTTCCCTAGGTAAGATAAGGGAAATGCATCCGTGGAAGCTAAGCAATATGGTTCCCTGAACAAGATCAGCATGGCAACAGCAACTGGCGTGTCAACAGTGACGGGAGTAAATTACACGCCTCCCACCCCTAGATGAAAAGCTGTAACACACCTCATAACAAAGCCCCAGGTAGATCAATGGCTGCTGAGAAGAGCAGTAGTTTCCTCCAAGATCAAGCTCCCACACAGTAAGCTCTATCCCAAATGGTTAGTGCCACACACATGTACATATGCATAAGGATAAATGGACTCAGAGGTTGTATATGTATATGTTTTATTATTATTACTAACAATAATAAAGAAAAGACTGAATTTGGGAAAGAATGGCACCAGAGGAGTTTGATGGTGGGGGAAGAGTAGGAATGATATAGTTCCTGTGTTTGTGTATGAAGTTCTAAATAAAAGAAAAATAATGTGGCAAATCAGTGTCAGGTAATGGAAGGGCAGTCTTTCTTGAACAGTTGTTGAGGAGACTGATTTATAAAGGCCACTGCTCATCTGTCAGTACTGTTGTAATGCGGCAATGGGATTTCTGAAAATAACTATATTCTAAGAGACTGGAACTTGAACCTCACAGTCCAAGTTAATATTATATCTTGATGTCCCTTAAGACTGGTATGCTACTGTATACTAAAACTGTTTGCTTAAGCACCTTTTAGGAGAACAATGTAACAACAAATCCTACTTGCATTGGATTTTCTGTATAATCAACTCTACAACCTAAGCTAATGCATAGCTACAGTCTTAATTTATGTACTCTTCCATGCCTCTGACTCAAAGTAATCCATGTGTATTATTTGCTGAAAGCTGAAAATACAAAAGTTGAAAAGGGCTTCCTAAAATCTGCTACAAAGGTCAAAAGCAACAATTTATGACATTTGGTTGATAAACAGTGATGTCTGTTATCTGGGTCAGTTTGAACTGGTGACTTAATCCCTTGTAAAATTCTGTTAGAGATGTCTGTAAAGAATCCCACTTCTTTCCATGTGATGCTTTCTATGCTGTTCAATAAATCCAGAGTTAAGCCCTTTGTTAGGGACAGACATAAACAACTCATACAACAGATAAACAGAGAGCTCATCCAACAGCTCACACCACACATATAGATTCACAAGATAGCCTTCACTCAGGCACAGATTTAGACTCACACAACAGCCTACAATATGGAAGACACAGTAAGCAAGAAGTAGAGAATTCAAATCTGGACTGGCTTGTGTTTAAAAACTTCTAAGGGGAAGTGCTATCTATTTCTTTAATTTGACACTGATGCATTATTGGATAGTGCTAACAGACTTTGTACTAGACAGATAAGCCAACTCTCTAAGACAGTTCACACAGCAGACACCACTCATACACAGACACGCAGACAAAACCAGATATACACAGAGACAGGCACAGACACAGGAACAAACAATTTCACAGGCCAGACTTAAGCACAGATTCAGACTCACACAACAGACAGGCAGAGGGCAGAAGACACACAGAGCACAGATTTGACAATTCAAATCTGGATTTGCTGTTGGCTAAATGACTCCATGGAGAAGCACTTTTATTGTTATTTTTAAATGTTACATCAGGGAGTTACTGTTGTCAGAGTTAATCACTAATATGCACGATTCTTGCATGGTGAGTTTTCCTTATCATATCTGGGCAGAGAGCGGCTCCCTGTGATTTTCTCACTTCCCACTGGATGTTTCCCCCAGCCAAACAGAAGTCTGGATAGGTAAAAGTCTTGTCAAAATTATGTTGAAAACTCACCACATTTCATATTCTTTTAAGAGTCCAATAACCGAAGTAGTTAGACACAAATTCTAGTCACTTTAAAGGGCGTCATTAACTGTTTTGAAGCAACTCATTGTGTCTTAACTTCTTTTATGTTATTCTAAAATATGTCCCCCAGAAAAGCAACAGAGAGGAGGAAGGGATTTATTTGGCACACATGGAGATTGAGCCAGGTGGTTATAACACATCTACAGACATGAGTAGTGAAACTAACGCTCCCAAGCCACCTATGCTAAGATAGCTGTGTAGCTGGAGTTTTCCTGCCTGGCCCACAGTCAGGACAAATCTCTGTCACCTGCCAGTCCCACAGCCGTCAGACCCAACCAAGTAAACACAGAGACTTATATCGGTTACAAACTGTATGGCCGTGGCAGGCTTCTTGCTAACTGTTCTTATAGCTTAAATTAATCCATTTCCATTAATCTATACCTTGCCACATGGCTCGTGGCTTACCGGTATCTTCACATTCTGTTTCTCATCGTGGCGGCTGGCAGCGTCTCTCTGACTCAGCCTTCCACTTCCCAGCTTTATTCTCCTCCTTGTCCCGCCTACACTTCCTGCCTAGCCAATGGCCAATCAGTGTTTTAATTATTGACTAATCAGCAACACATTTGACATACAGAACATCCCACAGCACTTCCCCCTCTTTTTTTTTTCAAAAAGGAAGGTTTTAACCTTAAAGTAAAATTACATATAATTTGGGAATTTGGGCGTAGTTTCTCTTACTACTTCCTGCTGGAGGGGGGCGCTGTATCTTATGGGGACACAAAGAAAATTTTAGGATCATGGAAAAGTCCATGAGGGTGTATCATCTGAGCCAGTTGCCTTCAAACCATTCTGGATGTTGGATCATCTGGGCCATGGTGTCATCGGAGACCTTTCAGGGGGTCTTGGCTGGTCAAACCTGATGTATCTTAATCTGGAACAAATCCATAGCCTCTGGCTTTCTGTGGGAACAAAAGCAGAGTCTCCTTTCCAAAGTAACATATCCTTATATTCAAATTTTGAAGTCAAGGTACCTTTAAAATATACATTTTGGCATAACTCAACAGCTTTTACAATCAAATATTTTTCTGCAGTTAAAAGTCCCAAAGACAACACAATGCAGATTCTCTGTGTAATATCCATTTTTACGTGGCTTATTTTTTATACTACCTTTACTGTCTCTTTAAAGACTTTATTTTTTAAAACTATGTATTTATTTCTATAACTCTATATATCATCTTTTTTGTCTCTTTCAAGCCTACGTATCTTTTACACACATTGTAAACTATTACATCTGAATCTGTCTTATTGTGAATCTATTGCCTTAAACTGCAGCAGCTGTGGCTGCTGGATCCACCCACCTCAGCTTCCCAACATGGCCATGGTTTACCGCCAGCTCTGGGAGCTATCGGGGGTCTATGCTTTTAGCCAAGCAGCGTGTAGCCCAGAAACCTCCCCTTTTGCTCTGCACCAGCAAAGGCTAAATCCACTATGCAGCTCAAAGTGCCACTTGCAAAGGCCTCATTCCCGCCATAGGCAGGTCGAGCACGCACGCTAGGAACCCACCAGTAGCTCAAACCAGCAGCTGCCGCTCATTTGAGAGAGACAATTAGGAACTGTTTTTAGCTCCGTTTTAGAATCTTTTCTCAGGTTTTTAGGTGGAAACTTTTGCCACCACGTTGGACGCCATTTGTAGCTGGAGTTTTCCTGCCTGGCCCACAGTCAGGACAAATCTCTGTCACCTGCCAGTCCCACAGCCGTCAGACCCAACCAAGTAAACACAGAGACTTATATCGGTTACAAACTGTATGGCCGTGGCAGGCTTCTTGCTAACTGTTCTTATAGCTTAAATTAATCCATTTCCATTAATCTATACCTTGCCACATGGCTCGTGGCTTACCGGTATCTTCACATTCTGTTTCTCATCGTGGCGGCTGGCAGCGTCTCTCTGACTCAGCCTTCCACTTCCCAGCTTTATTCTCCTCCTTGTCCCGCCTACACTTCCTGCCTAGCCAATGGCCAATCAGTGTTTTAATTATTGACTAATCAGCAACACATTTGACATACAGAACATCCCACAGCATAGCTGTCTTCATTCCCATACAGTTCAGGGATCAGCCCACGAACTAGTTGCACCCACATTTGGGTGAGCTTTTGTTTTTTTTTTTAAAGATTCTTTTATTTATTATGTATACAGAAGAGGGCGCCAGATCTCATTACAGATGGTTGTGAGTCACCATGTGGTTGCTGGGAATTGAACTCAGGACCTCTGGAAGAGCAGTTGGTGCTCTTAACCGCTGAGCCATCTCTCCAGCCCTTGGGTGAGCTTTTACATACCAATTAACAATCAAGACAATCCCCTATAGACCTATCCACAGGCCTACCTCACCTAGGCAGTTCATTAAGGAAAACTTTCTTCGTGATTCTAAATTTTAGTGAGTTGATATTTAATGCATACAAGTAACATTGTAACGTTATACAGTCTGAGTGGGTTATATTTAAGAATATGTTATATATATATATATATATATATATATATATATTACCTAGCTAGAACATATTTACCCTGAAGTATAGTATTACCAAGGCTTTAATGTTCTCATTTAACCCATAGATGCTTACCTAGAAATTGTCAGACACACCCTGAGAATAAAACCTTTGGAGTTGCTAGGGCCATGCCTCTGTTTAATGGTAAAGTAATGTCTTTAGTGTTTTTTATCTTTGAATTCCCCTCTGTAGGCTTGGTAAGAGTAAATGAACTGTAAATATTTAAACAATGTTTAATAAAACAACAACAACCACAAAACACCAGGCCTGTAAGATGCTAGCTTCAGCAGGCTAAGTTGGGGCCACTAAGAGTGATAATGACCCGAGGTCCATCCTCAGAAGCCACATAGTAAAAGGGGTAATCAGCTCCTGAATGTTGTCCTCTGACTTTCACATGCATGTCATGGCACATGCACAATCACATGAGCACGTGCACACACGTACACACACACACACACACACACACACACACACACACACACACACACACACACAGGCACAAATCTCATCTAAACCATTATTTTATAATTAGAGTGACTCCAGGAAAAAACTAAAAGTTTGTGATTAATGACAGGCATATTTTATTACATTGACAACTTGAAGTCATTATCTCCCTCTTTTAGCTTTATTTGTATTAGTTGTTGTTTATTTGTTTCAAGACTCCTTGGCATGGTGTCACAGCTGGAAACAATAACCCAGACTATGAATGAGCTCTTCGTGTAACAAAAGTTCTGAAATTTCTCTAAGTTGCTGAAATTTAGTTGATATTTCTGGTTGCTAATAGCAAACTACTCAAGATTTTAGACACTCTAAGAGGAAAACACTAGAATACTTTTTCCCTTTTTTTAAGTTAGTGTTTGACTTTCACTCATAATTGATTGCTACCAGCTTTTCCTTGAGCAACAGAAGAATGAGAAATCAAAACAATGGCTCACACAGAGAAAATGACCACATTTTAATATTTCAGCAATGAGAGAAACCTTCGGGACGTAAGCTGACTTCTATGCACTGATCTATAGGGAGGCCCCTTTCTCTCCCCTTACTTCCCCCCTGGGGAATTATTTTCCTGCCACTCCCACACAGATGCATTTGTTATGTAGATTGACTCATGCCTTCTACCGATCCTCACCAAATGACTCTTCTCTGCTCTTGGTTTTTCATCTTTTTTTTTGTTTCTAGCCATTTCCCTTCTCTGACCACATATCTCTCCCACATCTTTAATTATTTACATGTTGATTACTTTTAAAACCATAACTTCAGGTGTTATTTATCCCCAATCTTTAGAGTCCAAAATGCTTACTTACATTTGCACCTATCTGGTTGTAGATAATAAAATAAAATCATTTCTTGGCCTGATACATTCTTTCTTATGTTAGTAATGTTACCGTCACCTTGTCTGCTTCAGAGTGCAAAGGTATCTCTGGGTTGTCAGTTCTACATACTCATTTGGACAGAGAGCTGCTTGTTTAGCTTCAAAACTGTACTCAGGATCCTGCTCATCATTTATCAGCTATGGATGGAACAAAACATTTCCTGACTAGTAGCTGTAGGTATAAGCCAATTAAGACCAGGAGAAAGCCGGGCGTTGGTAGCACATGCCTTTAATCCCAGCACTCAGGAGGCAGAGGCAGGTGGATCTCTGTGAGTTTGAGGCCAGCCTGACCTACAAAGCAAGTTCTAGGAAAGGCACAAAGCTACACAGAGAAACCCTGTCTCGAAAAAACATAAAAAAAAAAATCAGAAGAAAAAGTAGCTTTAAAAATTAAGTGTTGCCCCTTTCTGAATGGAGATGGAGGGTAAGTGGATGGGGAGAGAGGTAGATGGGAGTCAAGGGAGGGAAAAGGAAGAGAGGAGGGAGGGGAAACTGTGGTTGGTATGTAAAAAAATGTTAATTAAATAAAATAAATAAGTTTTTCAACCATCATATTGTTTGTGTTTCAGGAAATGGAGACTCACATATGTAAAATACTCTAAGATCAAATCATTAAGTTCTAAAGCTTCTGAGTATCTATGGACAGACCAGGCCAAGCTTCTAGACTGAACACCACCATCTTTAGGGAATGAAACCACAGCAAGTGAACTTCTTCCCAAAGCCATAGAAGAGCTGAAAAATTCATGCAGTAGTTATCAAAGTCCCAGAAACCGTACATCTAACTTGTGCATACCATCCTTTGATTAAAGCAAGGCACCTCATTTATTTCCCCAAGCTTGTGTCCCTGAGTCTACAGTAGCCATCCAAACCTGGACTTCACGGGTTAATAAATGGGGTAACGTGAGAGCACAGTGTAGCATGAATCTTAAAGAGTCTTACTAATAAAAACAAACCCAGGGCCAGTTATTTCTGCCTCTGGAATGCTAGGATTAAAGGTGTGTGCTACTACTGCCTATCCTAAGTATCTAGTGGCTTTTCTGTTCTCTGACCCCAGATAAGTTTATTAGGATACACAATATTTTGGGGAACACAATATCACCACATTTCCTCTCTTTTGTCTAAAATTAAAAAAAGCTTATAACTAATACAAGAAAAATTATATCCAATAAGTATTTACAACATACACAGTCAAAATTACATTAACGATTGTCTAGTCCATTAACATTTGACAGATTCAGACAAAAAACTCAATTATATATATTAACAATGTCCAGTCCAGTAACATTTGATAAACTCAGATAAAAAATTTTCATTACTTATCTTATTTAAAACAAG